TGACTGCAGGCTTTCTAGGACGAACATAATGTATTTTGGAATGGAGGCAGTGTTTGTCTATATGTCTATTTTTTTCTTGTCTAACTTAAGTTTTCATTGTATTAGTAAACATTTAAGTCCTGAATATTTTACTTTGTTCCTTCTGTTTTGTTTATCTTAGTCTTGAGAGACACTGATTTTCCCCCTCTATTCATCTTATTCCACTCTTTCTATTTGTAGCACCTCTCAAGTAATATTTGAAACTGTATTATTTATTAATTGCATGCCTTCATAATGTTCTCACGAGAGAAATATATTGCCTGCTTTCAGTCGGAAACGGACAAAGAAGCTGGAGGTAACAAAGGTGTCTCTGACAAACAGATTCGTCTGAAAATCTTCTCACCAAATGTAATTGACATCACCTTGGTTGACCTCCCTGGAATTACAAGGGTTCCGGTCGGAGATCAGCCTAGTGATATTGAGTCAAGAATAAGAACAATGATCATGCAATACATCAAGCATCCAAGCTGCATTATCTTGGCCGTCTCACCCGCAAATGCAGATTTAGCCAATTCTGATGCTCTTCAACTGGCACGGCTTGGTGATCCTGATGGTACTTAAGCAACTCTATGGAATAATTTATTATGAAGTTCCTTGTAGCTAAGAAGTGTAAACTTAACTGTTTGCTGTCTTTCTGGCAGGATCTCGTACAATTGGTGTTATCACCAAGGTATTAATGTGTGTACAAAATTAATACTGCAAAGTTGTTACCTTACTCTGTTTCTGTGATGACAATTTTGATTTGTTTTTCAATGGCCTTAGTTGGACATCATGGACAGGGGTACTGATGCTCGTAACTTTTTACTGGGAAATGTAATCCCCCTCAAGCTTGGTTATGTAGGTATTGTGAATCGCAGCCAAGAGGTATATTCCGAGGCAAAACCACAAACCCTGATAATTTTGTTTGTCGTTTTGAATTTCATGTTCTGATTGCTCTCTCTCTCTCTCTCTCTCTCTCTCTCTCTCTCTCTCTCTCTCTCATAAAAACACGACAAGAAACTCATGTGCTGTGCTGTTATATTTCTAACTTCTTAGTTTTTGATATGTGTTGGTAGTGAATTCAATTGGTTATTTAAACTTGGATCTTAGCAGTTAATGATAATGCTACTACTGCCTAAATAGATAAAGTTATTTGTTCTAACTTCTAATCTAACACAAGTGGATGATTCCTACAGGACATCAACTTTAACCGAAGCATCAAAGATGCACTTGCCTTTGAGGAGAAGTTTTTCTCGACTCTACCTGTATGCCTGGAACCTGTGAATTTTCTTGCAGCAGTACTATCCATTGTGACTAGGCATATTTTCTTATAAGCCGTGTCTGATTGTATTTATTTTCTTTTCTTTTAACAGGCTTATCATGGTCTTTCACAATGTTGTGGTGTTCCTCAATTGGCCAAGAAGTTAAATATGGTATTGACACATTGCTGTTAAGTATTAGTTGTACTTTTCTTGCCCCTGTATTGCTTATGTTGCTTATGTGTTTAATCTCTTTGTACTTCACTTACGAATAATATCCTGAACAAACATCAACATACTCAGGCTCCAGGAGAAATGTTTTTTTGACCCTAATCTGATCTAGGATGAATTATTCTCAATTTACTGCAAGATAGTGGGTCAATGAATGATTTTTCATGTTTAAGTTGAAACCTCTAGTTTTAGCATGTAACTGAGAGATTAACTTGATAAAAGTTGGTGTGGTTAACAAAACTTTTAAGTGAATGAAATATAATACTTCTTGAATAGTAACTAATGAACGCCTTGCTGAAAAAGGTCAAGCCTTTGCCGTATGTATTGATGCACTATCTATGGGCACCTTCGTTTATCCATAGACACTGTCTATGATGCTTCCATAAGTGATATTAATACATCTAATGATTCTATCTGTGCACCTCATCATTGCAACTCTTGGCTCTTATTTGCAGATTCTACTAAAGCACATCACAGATATGCTTCCAGGTTTGAAATCTCGAATAAATGCTCAGTTGGTAGCAGTTGCCAAGGAACATGCTGCATATGGTGATACGGCAGAATCGACGGTAATTATACTGATATTACATAAGTATAAATTGTGAATACCTGCTTTATGATGGAAATTGTCTATTGCTGGGATGCCTTAACTGTGCATAGTTTAGAGTTTGCTATATCTTATATGCATTGGCATGAGAATCACTTATTAGTTATTACAATTATCATATGTCATGCTCTGTTGAACTACATACATGACGCATCACACCTGACTCCCTTATGCATGTTGTTTTTCTTAGTAACTATATATTTACCTGGTCTTCTCTTGTTTCACGCACATGTTGGTTTGTTTCTAGTGTCATTTTCTTTTACTTTTCAACCCTGCCTTTCTGGTCTTCGATATGCAGGCTGGTCAGGGAGTCAAACTATTGAACATATTGGGAAAATATTGTGAAGGTAAGGAAGAATGATCTGTTCCATTCATTGTAAAACCTTAACTTACTAATTTTTGTTTTGTTGCTATTTTTAAGAACTATTGCTGTTATGGTGACTCAATCAACAATCCTTCGTAGTCCGGTTCCATTCAATAATCAGTTCAAAACTCAGAAAAAGTACTTATATCTTTAAATTATCTTAACTGTCTAGAAAGCATTTGCTTGTTTATTTTTACCGTTGTGGAACTCTTTTAGTTACATGACAATTTAGATGTCAGAATATTAAGAACTTATTTTGTGAAGTGTTTGATTTTCCCAATGCTATTCTTTTTCTAATGTTAATAATATCTTCATGTTTTCAGCTTTTTCTTCGATGGTGGAGGGAAAAAATAAAGTGTCAACAGATCAGCTTTCTGGTGGAGCAAGAATTCACTACATTTTTCAGTCAATTTTTGTCAAAAGCTTGGAGGTTTGCAAAAGCAATAGCTTGACATATTTACACAGCAGACATGTATCCATGTTATTACAGTTCACTGTGTGTTAATATGAGAATTAAATTTGCATATAATGAGAATAGTGCTCCCTGGGACTAGTTTACAAAAATACTACTCACTAGTTACAGAATTATGCTTCATCTAGCACTCCGCCAAATATACCCCTTTGCTTCATTAAAAACAAGCGAGTGTCTCTTTCTACTCCTAAAGCACATGCATATGTTACTCCTGGTCCTGGACTTGGTAATGCATCAGCCAGCTGCTGAGAAAAATGACTGCATGCATCAGTTATTGTTAGCGCATGCTTAAAATCTCAATCTAGTCACAACTGAAAGCCCTTGCTGCTGCAAACCCACTAGATACACAGTTGGGCTTACTGGGCAGCATGGCAGGGCGACGCAGCTGGGAACATGGTGCAGCAGTTGATGCTTCAGTGTAATAGTGATGCGGGCGGTTGGCAGTGAGCGGAACAGGTCCTGGCGATGGAGGTTCCATTTTGCCTCCTTAGCGCTTTGCTGCTGCTTGTCAGTTGGGCTCCATGTTGTTCACAATACTACATGAGCTAAGTGGTTTTAGTGGGTGCTATGAGAGCATAAATGTGGGAAGTGATGCTTTGACATAAACTTCATGTCATAAACTGACCTACACAGTGGCAAAAAATAAAAATAAAATACAAATTCACAGCGAACAGCAACTTCTACCATTTTCTAGATTAAGTTATTCTGGTGATTTTTCCTTAGTTATTTTGTATGTAGACTGATTTTGCATTTTGTGAAATGGCTGGTTCTTTGGTGATGACCTCTATCTTTTTTGGGAATTTCTTGTGATAGTTTAGTATGCCTTACCAGAGAATTTTCTTGAGATCTGCCCTTTCAGGAAGGGTTCTGCTCTCCATAGTCACATTATAGTATTTTTCTGCCTTAAATGTTGTGCCCCTATATCAACATGCTGTAGGGAAAAAAGTTGTGCACTGTAATAAACTAGTATATCTTCCTGCAGATCATTTTAGTTTCTGGGCAGAAACAATTACCTCGTGCTAGTGTTACTTTCGTATATAGCTATATGGCATTACAAACTACATTTTAAATTCCCATCATTTTAGCAACAGTATGTGTCATAATTTTCACCTGTTTCATCTTGTGGTTCACATATTTCCTTTTTTGTGTGTGATAAATCTAGTGGTCACATTTCTTAGTTACTTACTCTATATGAAGGAAATTGACCCTTGCAAGAATATAAGCGATGAAGATATCCGCACGAGTATACAGAACTCTGACGGTCCAAAGGGTGCTATGTTTCTGCCAGAGGTTTACCTTTTCTCTGGATGATGCAATCCTTTCTTGTTAAATTTTTGTTATTCCAGTTAATGTCTTCTTACTGGACTCCTCCATGCTCAGAAGTATGTTTTTTTTTCTATTATAAATTGTAGGTGCCTTTTGAGATTCTTGTGCGAAAGCAGATAGGCCGTTTGCTTGATCCAAGTCTTCAGTGTGCCAAATTTATCTATGACGAGTTAGTCAAAGTATGTACACGTAACTATATTATTCCTATCAACCTCTATTTACGTTAGTTATAAGGTATCCTGAATAATGCAGATTAGCCATGGTTGCTTAACTAGTGAGCTGCAGAAATACCCAATTCTTAAAAGACGGATGGGTGAATCAGTTAGCAATTTCTTGAGAGATGGTCTTCGACCTGCGGAGACAATGATAACTCATATTATTGAAATGGAGGTAAGTGTTTATATTCTGAGTTCTTATTTGCCAATTGGTAGTAACCATTGGATTTCTCCAATAGTAAAGTTTAATTTTCGGGGTGTTTACTATCCACAGTATCCTGCAACTAAAGTAACCAACCATTAAACAATTGGTTGCTTTCATCTTACACTATTGGATATGCTTTGCAAAGAAGCTGGTTTTTAACAATGTGGCTGCTATAACCTGTCACTCTGGTTTAAGGGTCCCACTGTTCTCATGTCCCCTGTATTAATGCAAGGATACAGTCTTGAGTATCCTAACAAAAGTTGGTTATTTATGCATTTATTACCAGTCATGTTTTAAATACTGTTGAACAAGTTAGGTTATTATGAGCTCAGCATTATGACGATCTATCTCAGTTGTAATTGTATTTAGTTTTTTCACAATCTAATTCATGTTTTCCCATGTTATATTCTGGTTTCAGTTATGGTAGTTACATGTTCGTTATCTATTCCAATGAAGAACCTTTTTTTTTTAACTTTGTGGATTGGTACTTGACACTGGGGTTGCAGATAGATGCTAATGACTGTCTTGATTTGTTATTCGCTTGTGCACATAGCTCCATTTTATTGTCTTTTGTGTTTATTTTCTTATATGCAATTATACAAATATTTCTACAGATGGATTACATAAATACCTCACATTCAAGCTTTATTGGAGGCAGCAAGGTTGTTGAACTTGCTAAGCACGAAGGTCTATCTTCGAGAGGACCAACTTCACTATCGGTTCATAAGGTAACATCTTTTCCACCTCAGATTTTGTATCTATTCCGGAATAACGTAAAGGAGAAGTCCAATGTGGATGACTGGGATGTACCTTCAACAATGAACCTTTGCATTCGACTGCTCTGCTGGTGCTATCCGCGGAGTAGTTTTATTCTCTTTAGCATGACTAATCAATTTTTTAATGTCACTAAGAATTCAATAGTAAACGAGACCCGCAACCGCTCCTTTTGAAGAAAACAATTAATTGAAAGGAGTAGGTCAACTCGCATGATGGCTCTGGAATCAATGTGGATGGAAGTTGTGTTCATACACAAATTGTTCCTAACTTGAATAATTCTATGTCAAAATCGTATTGACAGATTACATACTGTCAGCATGCTCGCGGAATTCACTTCACTAAAAAAGAGTGAAAACATGAATTTTTAGTGTTGAGTTTTTTTTTGTATTAGCACAGTCAACTACTACTATTGTCACAATAATATAAGTAATTTGATTTTGTTTGAATTACTACATGATTAGTTAGAATTGTTGACACAACTAATAAAATTAAGATATAACAGAAGCCCCAGGACCAAATTCTGATCTATCTTCGACTGGGGCGAACAGACGTCAAGGCGACAAGAAAATACAGATCTAGATGTTGGTATAGATAGTTGGTCATGCCTAATGCGTGATATTTTTTGTTCGAGTAGTTTGTAAGATAAGAAATAATTTGGTAGTGAGTACACTTGTATCTTAGGCCCTGTTTGGTTCAGCTTTTATCGACAGATTCCGCTGCCGCGCAGCAGAATCTGAACCAAAGGGCGAACCCAGCAGAATCCGATTCCAGAAATCCGCTGCCAAAATCTGAACCAAAAGCTGAAGCAGCTCAGGACGTGCTTTCCAAAATCTGATTCCGCTGCGGGCCAAAATCTGAAAAAGCTGTATCAGCTGGTTTGCCAAATGACCTACATCTTTTTCACATCAGATTTTTCACAGCTGCTTTTAGAAATCCACAGCCGAACCAAACAGGGCCTAAATATGGCTGTCCTCATATTGTTAGCATATACTTTCTATGTGTATGCAATATATATTCTGAGAAACATGCATTCGACATGTACAATTGCTAGTAAACATAAGCCGGGTATAAATCAATCTGAGCCACAAGGTTTAGCGAATTTACAAAGAATCAACTTGTGTGTTTTATACATGTCATCTAATTGCAGATTACTAGAAGATGGTACTTGACATACATCAACATTTCTAATTAGTTGCTAAGCTCATTTGATTTTGTTTAGACTCGAGGGGAGGTGTTACATCTTTTTTCCACTTCACTTATTGCAGGATGGTGTTGGTATAAGTTCTGAGGCGCAGCTAAAATCTTCTACTGAGAACAATGTACAGCTCAAATCTGAAAGAGGTCAAAAGTCACGTGCTGTTTTTGCAAGAGATACTTCCAGAGGAGCAATAGCTGAGAAGGTTATCAGATCTCAAATAGTATCTTATTACTGTTTCAAAATTTGTTTTCTAGATGTGTTATAACATGATATTAACAATTTTACCCAACTTCATTTTCTGTCTTGTGTTTCTGCTGACCAGGGATTTCAGCCTGATACAGATGCAGGTAAACCAGTGTAGCTGTAATTATACAAGTATGCTTGATCTGCATTTCTCTGCTCTGGAGATTTTTATCATTGTAACTTCTGTGCAAGCACGATGTCAATCTGGGTTGCACTGAATTCATATGATGTTGCATTTGGGTCATGCTTTCCTGATAGCTCATTTGATTTCATATTTGAACCAGTTATATAATAATATGAATAACTAAGCACTGTTCATTTGCTAGTAATATGTCTAAGAGGTTTAAGTTCCCATTTCCTGGCTGGTTATGGTTGGTGCTGGCGGATTCGGGGTCATGGATCATCATCTTCCAGCTGAAACCTGGCCTAGTGGCCTGAACTGGGAAGACCTGGTTCAGGCTAACCAAGGTGCCGGTTGATCCAGGTCAGGCTTACCCAGGCTTCTCCAGGATGCAACCAAACGAGCCCCAGGCCAGGCGTTGAGCAGCCGGGGTACCAATGAATTAACTCCTAGATCACATGGCCCAACCTGTCAGAACTGGACATATATGTGATTGGCTAATCGCCATGCACTGCTGCATCAGTGTATTCATAATACCATCTGTTCACTTCCTGTTTAGAAGAAAATAACCAGTTGCTTGTTGAGACGTGATATTCAGATGTGCAAATCGCCCAAACTTGCCCATGGTTAGCCACATAGTGGTTTAACACGAATTTAATGAGTCACTGCTGCACCTGGCTGGTATAACCTGTCCTTAATCCTAGCTGTTTCGACAGGTTAACGCAGGCAATTTGAATCCTGCTTGGCAATTCATACGATACAAAAAAAAAAGGGCAACCTGGTGCATGTAGCTCCCGCTTGCGCAGGGTCCAGAGAAGGGTCCGACCACTTTGGGTCTATAGTACGCAGCCTTTCCCTACATTTCTGTAAGAGGCTGTTTCCAGGACAAAAGAAAAATCTTCTGATGATCTGAAGTTGAAATACAATATGATATGACCAAATCGACCCACCTGTATGCCTTTGGTTTATAAATCTATTTGTGGAGAAACATTTACTCACTGGGAAGCCACATGATGTGAATACCCTTCGGTTGGGAACTTCGACTCATCCTTTTTGCTAAGTGATGAGATTGGATTGCCCATATAAGATATAAACTATCATATTTCTGAATACTACCTCCATTATCTTTTACTTGTCATTTCAGATTTCGACAGAGAGTATGTTTGGATCCCAGGCAAGGGAAATCCTAGTCTTTCCAAGCGAGATTGGTCATTTGGTAAAAAATATATAGCTTTGGTGGCAATATAGCCTGCAACTTTTGCCTAATTAGTAATTAATACAAGCCCTTTAGAAAAAAAAGTCTCCCGCACGGGGAGATGAGCAACCATGGAAACAGCAGTATTGGATTAGTGGAGTTGTGGTCATCCGGACTGCTTCTTTGTCTTGACCACCATCCATCAGGGCATGTGTTAGAGCGTCATTGCTGTGAACGCACCACCCGCTTTCGTCCCATCTACCTATAGATAATTTTGTTGCCGAGGAAGTTTGATTAGTTACTTTTCAAAGTATATTCTACATTTGTTTTCCCCAAAAAAGAGTATATTCTGCATTTTAGCCTTCATGCAACTGAACAACGAGCCTTGCTTCTATGGGCCATCTTAAACGGGCTAGATGAATGTTGTGTAGCTATGTTACGTGAGGTAGTAATTCAAGTGCACCCAGTCTCCAGTACACACCATTGATCATTACCCAATACACACTGTTGCCCATTACTTTACCTAGTTATAAATTACGTAATAATATAATGACATGTTTGTATTTTTATATGAAAAATCTACTGATTAATATGTTTTGGGCATTGTTGGTCAAAGTTTTCTAACTTCGTCTGCGCAGTATATAATGATATCTACCTTTGAACGGCAGCAATGATTGATGAGAAAGGCCAACTTAGACATACATAAGAAGTAAATAAATCCTGGGGGCATTTAACTAGCACACTGTACATCGTTGTTCCATGTATCCCGTGCATCCTTTCTGGAGCCACCCGAGACACAGCCTCGATATTATAGACTTTGGCCCAAAATATGTTCTGTTTATATTCGAACTTGTCTTAGTGTTTAGTACCTGCAAGTTCTATACGTTGAAGTGTTCAATACCTGCAAATTACAATATATCAAACAGTTCTGCCAATTATTGCGGTTGTATATAAGGAGATACTCCCTCCGTTCCAAAATAGATGACCCAACTTTGCACTAAAGTTAGTACAAAGTTGAGTCATCTATTTTGGAACGGAGGGAGTATGTTTTTGGGATATGATCTGAAATCTGGGACAATGTTTTTGGGCTATGATCTGAAATCTGGTACAATCAATGTAGGAACAAGTGTGGCAGGTGGAGGCCAGAATGGTCACTCACTTGTTGGTGGGAGTTTGTCAAGCATGTCAGATCCACGAGTTTACAGCCTCAATAGCTTATACTCTATGATTCGGTTAAGAGAGGTGAATTTACTATCACAAGTGAGCTTTGCAATATGTAATTCATCAGGACTTCATATTTCATCTTCAATTCTTATCCTTGTTCTTACTAGCCACCTAGCACCTTGAAACCATCAGAAAACAAGACTGACCGGGACAGAACAGAGATAGCTATTGTGAAGCTTTTGGTCAAATCTTACTATGACATTGTCAGAAAGAGTATTGAGGATGCGGTTCCCAAAGCTATAATGCATTTTTTGGTAAGTTTAGTGTCTACAATGTGGTGATACCTGTTAAAGTCTTAAAGATACCTTGTTGACCACCTACTTATTGGTGAATTTGCCATATAATTCTACTGACTTATTTGTTCTTTGCTCCAATTGTTAGAGAGCTTTAACATACCTGTTGTTAAAAAAAATACCTCCAACAGTCAAATTATATATATAAATAAAAAACACTGGGATGCTAATTGCGGACGTTATAATATATAACTCCTGGTGTAGATGTATGTAATATTGGCATACTCTGAATCAAAGACAAAAACTACTTCTCAAGAGAGGTTTACTTGTCTCTTTTTGTCCCTACCTAGACATTTTCTTGCATGAACTAAAAATTTGCTGCTAAAAGTCATAAAGTTCCAGCAACGCTGGTCATTGTGCCAAGCAAAGTATCATTACTTGTTAATTAGTGTTACAATTAAAATCTAACTTCCAAAGTAGTCTGTATTGGTGACACTGGCGTTTTGACTGATCTTTTACTTAAGGTGAACCACACAAAGCGGGAGCTCCACAACGTTCTAATTCGGAAACTGTACAGGTGACTTGCACTTTGGTTTATGTACTTGCTAGCGAGCAACCCAATCGTAAATTTCAGATTACTTTCTATCTGGAAGAATCATTATATAATGACGATCTGGTGTGCAGGGAGAGCCTACTTGATGACATGCTGAGGGAAACAGATGAAGTACTTATCAGACGGCAGCGTATTCAAGAAACGCTCCAAGTTCTTGAACAGGCACACAGGGTATTTACTCCTCTCCTAGATGTTCTTGTCAACTTATGTGTCGAGCATCCATTTGATGTTTGTATTTTTTCAGACGCTCGAGGAATTTCCCCTTGAAGCTGAGAAGGTTGAGAGGGGCTACAGCCTGTCTGAGTATGGCACTGGCCTGCCGAATATCCCTGGACTCAGCAATCGCAATCCTAGGGGTATCCTCCCTTAACTTGTACAGTTGAAAGAAGCATCAAATGTACATGAACATGCTCATGTGGCATGTTGGTCGGACCCAGGTGCCAAAAAAGGGCACTTCTTCATTTGGTTTTGATCCAATCCTCAATCATTTTGGAGCTACTCCCTCCGTTCCGAATTACTTGTCTTGGATTTGTCTAGATACGAATGTATCTAGACTAATTTTAGTGCTAGATACCTGTGTATCTAGACAAATCTAAGACAAGTAATTCGGAACGGAGGGAGTACTTGTTTGAGTTTTGAGCTGAGCATCCAAATTTTGTTCTACAAAGGCAGTTCTTTGTAATCGGAAGCTATGGATGGAACAACATCCGGAGTAGATCAGTATGTATGTTACCCCCCTTGTTGACCTGACAACGGGGAACCACTTGCACTGATATTATCATGCAACGCTACAATTGCGATTTTACAGGAGCATCTAAACAAAAAATTTAGTCATGAACACATGCGAAGCAATTTCTTTTGAAAGCCCCACCATATATAGTTGGTAAGATTCGAATCTGCTGTTGAGCTACGCATCATGTAGTAATCATGATGTTCTTAGCAAGGTATCGGTTCTATCATTCGGTACTAGTTCTTTTAGTCTTATTAAAAGGTGCAATGTGTGTCGGCAGCATTCAGCTCTTGAACTATATGGGATCAAAACGCATACAGTAAGAATTGCAATGCTTTAGTGGCTGTCCTGCGAATAGGTCTCTCGACCTCGCATGCTCGAAACGCACTGGTGCTGCATCAGCATTACTCTCCAACACACACCCTGCATTATCATTTTCTGCTTCGATTTATATTTATGTTTTGATCGCCTAGCGCTTGGTCCTCGGGTAGGAGAAACTACTACTCCCTTTGTCCCAAAATAAGTGACTCAACTTTGTACTAGCTGATTGCTACTGTGGAACCAACTGAATCGCGGCGTGGTTGATTATTAGTATATACTTCCTCCGTTCCAAATTACTCGTCACAGAAATGGATGTATTTAGAACTAAAATACATCTAGATACATCCATACCTGCGACAAGTAATTCAGAACGGAGGGAGTATATATCTGGAGACGTCTGTCCACGCCTTTATTGTCCCGTCCACTTGGTCCTTGCAATGTACTCCTTGGGTAATTTGACAAGCACAAAGACGCCGGCGTGACAAACTGAATGAAGATACGATAAGCGTTCAACAGACTTGCACAGAAGATTTCCTTGGGACCGCAATGCTTCTCTTATATGGCATGTGCATGAATCAGTTCATAGGCATATCCTACGCTGCAGCACCAACGCTGTGTGTGCACATGTGTATTTGCTGCCGGATGGTACGCAAAGATCTTGGATTTCAAGACAAAAAAGATTTCTCTGACCAGCCACACAAAAGAAAGATCATGCTTTCAAGATACTTCCTCCATCCCAAAATAAGTCTCATGATTTTAGTTCAAAATTTGAACTAAAACCATGACACTTATTTTGAAATAAGTGTCATGATTAACAGAATGTTGGTGATAATCCATCACTATATACAGTCGATTGCATGTATTGTCCTAAATATTAGACAAAACTTGCCACAACTTGTAACCAGGCAGCAAGTTAGTTAGTACCCAACCCTATTCTTCAATAGCTTTCAAATATGTCCCCATCCTCGTCTCATCCATATTGGTTTCACTGACCAACTAATGACGTGCTATGTTGAACATGGATGCAAAAACAGTTGAACATTGGCTCTGTGCACCATTTGGTGGAGAGGCAGGGATGGTGGTAAAAACAGTTAAACATACTCAATATTTCCAATATTTAATACATGGCATTTTAGTTTGACACTCACCAATGCACATCCACTTGAATGGTGATCGACCTGTGGGCAAATCACGTGGATCCTTTGGGACTAAAAGGAACAGAACATTTTCTTGCTATATTAATCTTGCAACTCTCGAAAAGCCAAACTTTACTTACAGCAAACATGATCTAAGCTAGCAACCACTCTTACATCGTCAGCAACCAAGAGTGGTACCATAAAATTGGCAGGATCATCTAGCCAATCGTCACAAACATGTTAGCTAACCAACATATTGCACCCTACAAGAGTATTTCTTGCCGATGGATAATATGATTAAGCACCTCATCATGGTTGAGATTGTGCGATAGCGAAAACGTCTTACCTCATGGAGCGGGGACGCCGTACGTGTTATAGGCAGGGGCTCACCTCCCTGATAGTGCATACAGTTAAGATTTTACAGAAGAGATTTGGGAATCAAGTTAGGTAGAGATAGAGCTATTGTTACAGAAGATAAGATATGCCTCTAACCTCCTAACCTACGTGCCCAAATATTGTTGTCACGTTGCAATTTGTACGACATACACATTGCATTATGTTTGACACCCTCCCTTACCGAAAAAGGCTTTCGCCCCGCTTTATAAATAAAGCAACCGCCGAGCATACAGTACCAAGGTTCCAACCATACAAACACGCACTCACCCAAGGCCACCGCACCCAGTCCGACACACAGTCACACACGATACCCAGGTTCAGCTGTGGGCGCAGCACAACAAGCCCAACACCGAGGCCACACAAACACAACACAACAAGGCGGCGGCAACGAGGTGTAGACGATCTAATCCGGCTCCGACGGTGGTGGGGGAAGCGGAGGAGCCATCCGGAGCGCCATCATGTTTGACACCCTCCCTTAATCACAACTTCATCAAGTTGAGATTATGCTTGAAGTCTTCAAAACTTCTTATAGGTAGAGCTTTTGTAAACCCATTTGCAACTTGGTCTCTGGAGTGGATAAACCGAATGTCTAAGAGTTTATTTGCAACTCTTTCTCAAAATGAAAGTCTATCTCGATGTGTTTTGTTTTGGCATGAAAGACTGGATTTGCTGACAAATAGGTAGCACCTAGATTATCAGACCATAAACATGGAGCTTTAGTGCTCTTCATACCTAGCTCCTTCAGGATGGATTGCACCCATATGATTTCTGCTATTGCATTGACCAGTGCCTTGTATTCTGCCTCTGTGCTATAGCTGGAAACAGTAGCTTGCTTTCTTGCATATTATGATATTAGATTGGGTCCAAAGAATACTGCAAACCCACCAGTTGAGTGTCTGTCATCCAGACATCCTGCCCAATCTGAGTCAGAGAAGGCACTGATAAGAGTAGAAGATGACCTGCTAAAATTCAAACCAATGCTCAAGGTATTTTTCACATATCTGACTATACGCTTAGCAGCAGTCAAATGAACTATAGTGGGTGCATGAAGGAACTGACATACTTTGTTAATAGGAAAGGGAATATTAGGTCTGGTGAGTGTCAAATACTGGAGTGCACCTACTAGACTTCTGTATTTGGTGCTATTCTCTGGACTCATAAGTTCTCCTTCAGTGAGAGATAATTTTTCTGTACTAGATAAATGAGTGAGTGTAGGTTTACAACCTTTTTTACGAGATCTGCTACATATTTTTCCCGAGAGAGGTGAAGTCCATCCTTATGATGCTTCACTTCAATCCCTAGGAAATAGTGTAGATCTCCCAGATCCTTGAGAGCAAATTCTACACTCAAATCCTTCAAAGGTCCTACTATTGCCTCATTAGATGAGCTTGTGACAATGATATCATCAACATATATGACAACAATTATGGATGTATGTGACTTGTTATAAATAAATAACGAGGTATCACACTTTGAAGGAATAAAAGTAAGTGCTTGCATCTTTTTGCTGAGACGGAAGTACCATGCCCTTGGAGCTTGTTCCAACCCATATAGAACATTATCAAACTTACACACATGAGAGGGTGCATGTGTGTTTTCAAATCCAGGAGGTTGTTTCATGTACACTTCCTCTTTCAGAACACCATGAAGAAATGCGCTCTGCACATCTAGCTGTCGTAGGCTCCATCCCCTGGAAATAGTAATACATAAGACAAGACGAATGGTGGCAGCTTTTACAACTAGACTAAACGTGTCCTCGTAGTCTATACCATACCGTTGTTTGAAACCTTTTGCAAAGAGTCTAGCCTTGTAGAGGTCAATGGTTCCATCGGCCTTTCTTTTTATCATGAAAACCTACTTGCAATCAATAAGACTTTTACCTTACTGTGGGGGAACCAAATGCCATGTTCTGTTTTTCTTTAGTGCCATATATTCTTATTGATTGTCTAGGGTGAGAAAAACAGAACAAAATTGATGGTCTAGTTTCTTTAGTGGCCTCCTGACTACGGTAAGCACTCCTCTGCCTCCTCTGCCTCCTCCTGTGCTTCCCCTGTTCCTGCCGATGGGTTGTGAATTTTGGGCCGATCATGCCGATGTATTGTGAATTTTGGGTCGATCTGCTCACTAGGGTTCGTTGTGTGCGTCCCCAGGGTTCGTAGGGGAAGTAGTTTCCATGAGCTTGTCTAGGGTTTCTTGATGCTGATTTGGGGAATTCGGGGGTTCAATCAAGGGCAATGTGAGGGGATTTGACCTAGGGTTTTGGGTAGCATACAGGGAAAGGGGGGTCCTTTAGGTCAGATGCACTGTAAAATCTGATGAAAGGGTGGTCTTTTAGTCGACATTTCTGTGAAAAAATGCTTACTTTCCCTATTTGGCAAAAGTACAAGCTTTTTTGAGATGAAAGTCAGTATTTTTACTATTGTTTTGTGATGCAAGGGTGGTCTTTTAGTTGATATTCGGTACATATTTCTGTTTGAAAATCATGTACAAATTCAGTTAGAGTTTGAGCATTGTACTTTGTCAGTTGAAACTATGATTTAGTTATAGTTGAATGTGTTGTGCACTGAAAATTTAATGTGTCAATTATTGCAGTGACAAATGGAGAAGCTAGCCAGTTTTTCTCAGTGGAGTTCGAGCACAATGGGATTTTCTTGGGGAAATGCATAGGTGGAGAAATGAAGTTCTCTTACATTGGGTGCAGTCATGAAGCTTTTGACTACTGTCATTCAGACACATGGTCACTGGGGATGATCAAGTATTGCTTGGCAAGGATGGACTATGACCCTA